AGTCTGTTCTCACAATTGAATTGTGAAAAATAATTAATTAGCTAGTCAATTTATTAACGACATAATTCCACAGCGACAGTCTTGGGGGATTTCTGCATGTATACGGCAATCTCTTTTGATATTTTTTCCATTTTAACACACTTCACACTCATGCATTCAATACGTATATGCTTCGAACTATCGTTATCTTTTTATCAAAATCGTTTTCTTTTTCTTTGGATAACTACACGATAATTATAACTCATTGGTTAATGAACACTCACCGTTCCCAAGTAGATGGTCGCGTATCGTTTGTTCAATGATGTCCTCATCATAGTTGTGGACGTGAATGCAGACTACAATGTCCTGGCACGTTGCCTTCCTGACGGCCTGCGTGCGCGCGTGTGAGAGAGAAAGATACTTCAATATTCCGCGTTTACTCGTAAAACTCAAACTCCACGACAAATGGCGCTCTCGCTCTGGCTCATGATATTATGATATATGTTATCATGATCATGATAATTTATCATGAGTTGTACGAAGGGGGCGCTGGATGCAGTTTGCGTAGAACTATGACGCGTGACTGTGGGAGAGATTCAGCGTCACGTCCGTCGTAGACCCGTAGTCGTGCGTGCGCATGCGCGGCAAGCTGGTGGGCGAAACATAATAAAATGTAATGAATAAAATAATAATTAAAAATAATAATTGAATAAATTTAATAATGAAATTGATGTGAAGAAGAAACTGGACACTATATGCTTTCGAGAATATACGAGGAACGTGCGCTAGTCTTCAGGCGCGGTTATAGCAGCAGGCGAGTTGTCAAAGACGCGCGCTCGCACGCGGAAAGTGCATGCGATGACGCCGTGCTATCGCATCCAGACACACAAGGTCGGCAAGGAAAACAGAAATTAGTCTGCTTATATTATACACCCTCGTCGCCACCAGAGGGCAGAATAAAGGATGACGGCTGTGCGTGGCATACGTAGCAGAGACGGTTAATATAAAGGGTTATTTCATTTTATTCATATATATGTTGTACTTCTATTTAGGTGATAACCTCAGCTCCGGAATCGTAGCAGCGTAGAGTTGGCAAATTGTAGAGATGTTTCGTAGATAGCAAGGTAGAGTAGCAGCGTAGAGTCTCGTCAGATAGAGGCGTAGTCGCAGATTAGTTATTGAACTCTGTCTGTATTACTACTCCGTCAAACACACAAATATATGCATACTACGGCAACCAAGGTACCCATGGCTAGGTCCCGCGTCTCGTCTTCCATTCTCTACATCTTACATAGTATGTGTCCATGTAATAACTAATATGCTTCTCTCTGTCCGAGCGAGTCTATTTATACTGATTCTAAAACTGCCCGAACGCCCTACAATCCTAACTAGTTTTTTCAAATACCAGCTGGGTTTAGGTGGGGTTAGGGTGCGTAGGGGGGTAGGGTAGGTATATATACGTACGTGGTAACACGGAGCGGTGAGCATCCATCCGAGACCGCATCCACACAGCAGCCAGAACACGATCGAACCCGCGCGCATGCGCATCCGGTACAAATAGGCCGGTTTCCGGAAGTTGGTGACGTAGATGCGTGCGTCATGACTCATCTTCGATTCCCGCGCGAGGTTGACGTGCGTCTGCGCAATCCGTTTACTCCACCAGGTGGCGACCATGATGTTGAAGTTTAGCTGACGTCATAGAAATACACATAGTGACTTAACTTACATCATTCATTCTCTCTATGGCTGTAACGGAATACATATAGCTATACACATATGGCTGTTACCATAGAAATATATAGAGAAATAAATATATTACTTCTGCGGCTACCTTATGTTATTTCTATTGCTGTAACGGAATACAGCGCCATGAACTTTTAATATGCAATTATATTAGCAGAAATTGATACGAGCACGAAGTACAATTGAGCGCGATCTATATATATAGTCACGTAACTATTATGAACTATTCATAAATAGTTATAACTATCATATAACTATCATATTTGGCGGATCTAGGGGGGTGTCCGAGGGGTCCGGACCCCCTTTTAATTTCAAAGTGCCCTAAAAAAAGTAATTTTCTGCTAAAAATTTGGAATTCCATCTTGCATTCTAGACATCAAAATTACTGCTCAGATGCTCTCAGAATGCACCAATTTAAAAATATTTTTCTTGGGGGAGGTCCCCCAAACCGCCTCTAAGTGGCTTATTCGGCAGCTTATTAAAACACCAGAGAAATTAAGCAGGACAAAGTGTCCTTTATTTCTTTCTGGACACCACCCTTTCAGAAATCCTGGATCCGCCCCTGAATAATAGTTATAACTATGAGAAGTCACCTCGATGCAGAAGTGTCCGTGATGTTTTATGATGTTGCGAGCGCGCTCTAACGCCGGACAGATCTGCTGCCTGACGAGCGGATGAGTCGGATTCACCAGTATTGCTAGATCCTCTACAAGCACAACAGCAGTATTAGCATCCTCCTCCTCAGTCTCATGCTTCTTCTCCTCCTCCTCAGTCTCTTTCTCTTCAGTCTCCTTCTCCTCCTCCTCCTCCTCCTCCTCTTCCACCTCACTCTCACTCTCTTTCTCCTCCTCCTCCTCCTCCTCCTCCTCCCCCTACTCTTCATTTTCCTTCTCTTCCTCCTCAGTCTCCTTCTCCCCCTCAGTCTCCTTCTCCTCCTCAGTCTCCTTCTCCCCCTCAGTCTCCTTCTCCTCCTCAGTCTCCTTTTTCTCCTCCCCTTCCTCCTCCTCCTCCTCCTCTTCCTCAGTCTCCTTTTCTTCCTTCTCCTTGGTCTCCTCCTCCTCCTCTTTAGTCTCCTTCTCCTCCTCCTCCTTAGTCTCCTTCTCCTCCTCCTCCTCAGTCTCATTCTCCTCCTCCTCCTTAGTCTCCTTC